GTTCTCTTCTTGCTTGGCCTATGTTTAAGGTTCAGTGTAACCTGATAGACTAGTTCACAACAAGATTAGATACTTCACATTCTAAAACTCTTCATCTCTATTTCATTTTTAATCATTTCATAAAAAGTACCATGTTTAACAAAATTAATAGATTTCAGACATTCGTGACAGTGCCTTGAACAGATATTTTTTCATGGACTATTTCAATGACATCTATCATATTTTATCACGTATTGTATTCTATTAGTTATTGCCACAGTAATTATTCTATATCCACCATAGTTTATAAAACATAAACATGAGGAATTCTTTTCTTCATGGTACTCATGTCCAAGTGGTGAACCACAGGGGTATATCATTTTTCATTATAATGTTCTGAGTAGGCAGCATTGACTATTTTTGAGTAGACAAGGAAAGCTCAAAACATACATAGAGAGGTGTGGCTTGAAATTTGCTGAGTATTAGCATGCTATGACACAAAGGATGTAAAGTAGCAATAATTAATTAAATTTTATTTAAGGTGTACAACATGATTTTATTTACATTTACATAGTGAAATGATTACTATAGTCAGTTAACATATTCTTTCATGCAGTTCATTTTTCATGATGAGCACTTAAAATAAACTCTTAGTAAATTTACATTATTAAAGACAGTATTATTATAGTCATCATGCTGTACCATGGATCTCTAGACTTACTCCTAAATAACCACAACTTTGTACACTTTGACCAACATCTCCTCATTTCCAACACCTCCTCACCCTTACTAACCACCTTTCTACTCTGTTTCTCTGTATTTGACATTTTAGATTCCACATATATTGAGAACATGAAGTTGTTTTTTTTTTCTGAGTCTGGCTTATTTAACTTAGCATAATGTCCTCCACGTTCACCCTTGGTGTTGCATATGGCAGGATATCTTTTTTTTAAGTCTGAAAAATATTCCATTTTATGTATATATAGCACAATTTCTTTATCCATTCTTCTGCAAACAATTTGTTTCCGTATCTTGGCTATTGTGAATAATGCTGCAGTGAACATGAGAGTGCAGATGTCTTTTTTAGGTACCGATTTCATTTCCTTTGGGTATATATCAGAAGTGGGATTGCTGGATCATATGGTAGTTCCATTTTTAATTTTTTGAGGGATCTCTAGAGTGTTTTCCATAGTGGCTGTACCAATTTACATTCCTATCAACAGTGCATAAGGGTTCCCTTTTCTCTACGATCTTGCCATTGCTTGTTATCTTGTATTTTATTTTATTTTTGACAGTAACCTTTCTAACAGGTGTGAGGTGACATCTCATTAGAGTTTTGATTTGCATTTCTCTTACGATCAGTAACTTTGAGATATATTTTCATATACCCGTTAGCCATTCGTATGTCTTCTTTGGAAAAAAATGTTTATTCAGAACTTTTGCCAATTTTTAAAATTGGGTCATTTATTGATTTTGCTGTTGAGTTGTATGACTATTCATGTGTTTTGGAGAGTAATCCTTTATGAGCTGTATGGCTGCAAATATTTTCTCCTAATCTCTGGGTTGACTTTCCATTTTATTGATTGTTTCCTTTGCTGCGCAGAAGCTTTTTAGTTTGATAAATTCTCACTTGTTTATTTTTGCTTTTGTCACCAGAGCTTTTAGTGTCAATATTCAAAAATTTATTGCCAATGCTATTATCAAGGAGGCTTGCCCTATATTTTCTTCTGTGAAATTTCAGGTCGTACATTTATGTCTTTATTTTTGAGGATTGTGTTTGCGAATGTGTATGTGTGTGTCTGGGGGGGCGGTCTATAAGTCTGTTTCATTCTTTTGCATGTGGATATCCAGTTTTTCTCACACCATTTATTGAAGAGGCTGTCCTTTCCCCATTGCGTATTCTTGGAGCCCTTGTCAAAAATTAGTTGGCTATATGTTTGAGTTTATTTCTGGGCTCTCTATTGATTCATTGATCTATGTGTATGTTTTTATGCCAGTACCATACTGTTTTGATCACTATAGCTTTGTAATATTTTGAAATCAGGAATTGTTATGCCTTCTTCTTTCTCAAGATTTCTTTGTCTACTTAGGGTATCTTGTGTTGCCATATAAATTTTAGTATAGTTTTTCTATTTCTGTATAAAATACCATTTGATTTTTGATAGAGATTACATCGGATCTTTGGATTGCTTTCTGTAATGTGGATTTTTTAACAATATTAATTCTTCCAAAACATGAACATGGAAGATCTTTCCATTTATTTGTGTGTTTTTCAGTTTACTTCATCAATATTTTGTAGTTTTCAGTGTACAGATCTTTTATTTGCTTGGTTAAATTTATTCTTAAGTATTTTGTTCTTTTTCGTATTATTGTAAATGGGATTGTTTCTTTGAGTTCCTTTTTGGATAGATTGTTGTTGGTGTAAAAAATGTCAATGATTTTTGTAAGTTGATTTTCATCCTGGAACTTTATTGAACCTAGATATAGTTCTGTTTTGATGAAGTAGTTAGGGTTTTCTTTGTATAGGACCCTGTCATCTGCAAAAATATAACTTTACTTCTTCCTTTCTGATTAGGGTGCTTTTTTTTTTCTTGTCTGTTTACTCTTGGTAATACATCTAGTACTATATTGAGTAGAAATGATGAGAATGGGAAACCTTGCCATGTTAATTATTTTAGATGAGAAGCTTTTAGTTTTCTGGGGAGAGAAGGCACAGGAAGTGCCCACTCACTTGTTCAGTCTCACGGAGGACGACTAACTACCTGCCCTGTTTTCTCCCAGATTAGAAGCTTGACCCTCAGGGAGCAGCTAGGAAAGTGTGCTGTCAGCCCCTTCCAGGGAGAAGTAAATTGGAGCTGTAGAGTTTTGCTTGCTCCCTCTGTACTGAGCCCAGAGGAATAGCTGCTGGAAACGCTTGTGTGTCTCTTTGAAACTGCCTCTTTGGGGACTCTTGAATACTGAACCTCACTGGATCTCAGAGCTGTTGACTTGGAAGCCAATACCTCAGGTCACAGCCATAAAATTTGGGTTGCCGGATGTTTGTTCCTAGCCCTTAGATCCTCAGGGAGAAGCTAGGTTCCCTCCCAATTGTAAGGCGTTGTGCTAGTGGTGGTGTTTGTAGCACGAATGTGTCTCAGCTTCTTCTACCTGTTTTAATGTGGCTATTTTCTCAACATCCAGTGTTTAGGAGTCTCTCAACTAGTTTCTGGATTTCTGTTACAGGGAGTTGATCTGTGTGTAAGTGGTTATGCAGTGCATCCATAAGAGGAGGGGACATCAGGAGACTCTTAGTCTGCCAATTTGCTGACATCCTTTCTTAGATTTGATTTTCTATTAAAGGAGCATTAGGTACCTGACATAAATGTATAGTAGCCAGAGTTGTAATAAATACTGAACAGAGAACACGGGAGAAAGAGCTAATTAGGGCTGACTCTTAACTGTGGTCATTGTTCAACACTGGTTTCCAGGCAAGTAGGTGTTTTCTCAGACTGATCATGATTAAAGAAAAGCAAAGTGAGGAGTAATGATGGGAGTATGATGGCACATCGGGAAAGGAGAAACTGTCAAAGGAGAGATCAGGTTTTGGGAAGACATTGGGAAAGAGGTTTATAAAAGCATATGTCTCCGAATCATGACTAGGAAGGGCATTTCTGGTATGATTTGTTTTGTTTTGTCCTTTAAGAGGTAGGGGAGTTAAGTATAGAAAGTCTTCACTTTTCTGCTCAGAGACCCTAACTTGACCCCTGTAGGGTTCTGGAATGAGAAAAGCAGCTCAATCCTACCTGCTGCCTATATCTCTGACTTTCAGTTATTTTGAACATTGAAGAAAAGGAAAGTCAGTGAATAGGCAGACATGAAGACACAATAAGATTGAGTTGGTGCTTCAAATATATTTTTAAAATTAAACCATTTCTGTTTAATGTTCAAAATGTTATAACATACTAGAACTACTAAAAAGCACTTCCCAAGCAAAAGAAAACAAAAGAGACACTCGATTCGAATGTGCTACATGAATTCATACCCCCTTCTCTGCCTTGAACGATAAAGAGTACTTAAACATTTGCTTTTCTTTCTCATATCAAGTTGTCTTTGCCCTTTTTGAGTCTATATACAAAGGGTAGATATTAATAGTGGTAGTTGTAAAAATAATAAAAATAAAAAGAACAACATACAATTACAATTACAATCCCCTTCTCCGTCTCATCTCATTAAAGGAAGACGAGACCAGAGCTATGAAAACACCAAAAGGATGAAAGGCCCTCAAATTCCCATCCATCCTGAAGCCCTCAGGTTCATTAAAGGTGGCTTCCAATTATTTATGTCTGAAATTTTGGATGATGTCTGAGAGAAAATCACATTTGATATTTTATCTACCCCAAGGTAGAGATCATGTTAGTACTAATATTCATGCTGCTATGTACTACTACCAGTAACAATCCACAAATACTTTCCTCATACGTTATTTACATTCGGGCTTAAACATACTTGTGAGTTGTAAAATACTATCCTGTTTCATATGTTAAAATTTGTCTCTAAACCAAAATCACATAACTGCTAAATAAAATAAGTTTTTAAACTTGCTTCTCTGATTTGAGATCTTTCCACATGGCTTTCCCTCTTCCCATTTTTTTTTTTTCGTAATAGATTCGTCCATTTCATTATGATAGGTCAGCCTGACATATTTAAGATAGCTTTTTTTAAAAAAAAAACAAAAAACAAAAAACTTTCCACTCAGGTTTTTCTTCATTGTTTTTCTTCTTTCCCACCATTGTCACCCACCAAGCTCTCCATGCCCCAAAATCTGAAGTAAGTTGGTAAAAATGTAAAACTCCTAAAATTGAATTGCATTATCTCCAGGCTTGTCCTTATCAAGGTGCTGGCCTGTCTCTGATGCAGAATATATATAATGTACATTGGGATAAAGCCTGTGATGATGGGCCATATCATCTGAAACATCTGGCTAAGGCCGGCCAGTTGTATATGGTAGGTATTGATAAAAAAATTATTTTTATGGTTCTTTGATTCAACAGCTTCTGTTATTTCTGACTCTCTCTGCAGATTAATAATCCTCACATTTTTTAAATGGGAACAGATAACCAGACGTGGGCAAAAGAGTTTATTCTCCTCGGCCTGTCCAGTGACTGGGACACTCAGGTCCCTCTCTTTGTTTTATTCTCTATCACATACCTGGTGACAGTGCTGGGAAACTTCCTCATTGTTCTTCTGATCAGACTGGACAGCCGGCTCCACACTCCCATGTATTTCTTTCTCACCAACCTCTCCGTCGTTGATGTCTCTTATGCCACAAGCATCGTCCCTCAGATGCTGGTGCACCTTCTTGCAGAACATAAAGTAATCCCATACGTGAGCTGTGCATCTCAGTTATTTTTCTCCTTGGCTTTGGGTGGGATTGAGTTTGTTCTACTGGCAGTGATGGCCTATGACCGCTATGTGGCTGTGTGTGACCCCCTGCGATATTTGGTCATCATGCATGGAGGGCTCTGTGCTAGGTTGGCCATCACATCCTGGGTCAGTGGCTCTATCAACTCTCTCGTGCATACTACCATCACTTTTCAGCTGCCCATGTGCACAAACAAGTTTATTGATCACATATCATGTGAAATCCTAGCTGTGGTCAGACTAGCCTGTGTGGACACCTCTTCCAGTGAGGCCACAATCATGGTTTCTAGCATTGTCCTGCTGATGACACCTTTCTGTTTGGTTCTCTTGTCGTATATCAGGATCATCAGCACCATTGTAAAGATTCAGTCCACAGAAGGAAGAAAGAAAGCCTTCCACACCTGTGCCTCTCACCTCACAGTGGTTGTCCTGTGCTACGGCATGGCCATTTTCACTTACATCCAGCCCCGCTCCGGCCCCTCTGTCCTTGAGGAGAAGCTGATCTCTCTCTTTTATGCCATTTTGACACCCATGCTGAACCCTATGATTTACAGTCTAAGGAATAAGGAGGTGAAGGGGGCCTGGCAGAAACTGTTAGGGAAATTATCTGGATTAACGTCAAAACTGGCAACTTGATGAATCATGAACGTCATTAAGAGAAAAGAGCTTTGCCTGTGTGTTCTCCCACCCAACTCAGATATGACAGTCATCAACTGCATTGCCCTGGCAACCAGGAAGGAGATGACGAAACAAGTGCTGATTGTGTGGGTTAGGGGGCTGAGGAGTTGAATTGGAGTATAAGAGTTGATTCTGTCAAGCCATGCGCAGGTGCTTCACATAGACTATTTAGACTTAGATATACAAAGTCTTGGGAGACTCAGAGATATAGAGACTTGGGGAGAGACCCAGAGATACAGAGACTCAGAGGGGGAGACTCAGAGATAGAGAGACTTGGAGGGGAAGACTCAGAGATATAGAGACCCAGATGGAGACTCAGAAATATACTCAGAGATAAAAAGATTTGGAAAGAGATACTCAGAGATAAAGAGACTCAGAGAAATAGACTCAAGAGCAAAAGACTGAGAAATGTGAGATTCAAGAGGGAGATATTCAGAGATAGAGACTCAGAAGGGAGAGACTCAGAGATAGAAACTTGGAGAGGGAGACCCAGAGATACAGAGACTTGGGGAGAGTCTCAGAGATATCCATCCAACCCACCAACCTGTCCCACTCATCCCACCCATACATCCCTCCTATCCAGTCCCTCCCATACAGTCCATTGCTAAAGGTCTTATTTTTCTTAGCTCCAAGCCAGGCAAGACCTTTCTCTTGAGCCCTAAACATATATGCCCGGTTGCTTGCTTTATACCCTCACTTATATCACATGAATCTCATTCTTAACATAGTTTTAAAAAAAAGAACTATCGTTCTTGCTGCTTCTCGCATGGACAAGGCACACAGGCGGAAGTCTCCCCCACTCCTATGGAGGGGAAGAGAAGAATGCCCTGGGCTTCTACATGCTCATTGTACTGTGCTTAACACCCTCCGTTGTGTTTTTTCACACAGGGTGGTTTTACTTTTATTAACAATTCTGAGTATTGAAAATCCCTAAGTCCAAACCAAGGCTCTGGGAGGTTGTCTTCCTTAAAGTGAAAGGAACAGTGAAGATTTTAAGAACGTTCCAGAATGTGGAGAGCAGCCCAGTAGTTAGTGGCTTCTGTCTAGGGACTGGCATAAAAAGTCTTCCTGCCCACACTTAGATTAGAGGATGTACACTGAATGTCCCAGTGGTCCCCTGAGTCACCTGGCCTGGGAGCTATTGCTCAAAGGAATGTCGAGGTGGGTGAATTGAAATGAGGAAGTTGAGATGTAATCACATCTTCATGCTCATGAAATGGATGACAGTTCTTACCATTTGAAGGTGGTATCACTGAAGACTCAGTTGTAATCCCCCCTCCCCCAAGAAATTAAAGTTTGGCAAGTTTCTTCTCATGCCCCAGGGACAAGGAATCAAAACTTTCATTGGCAAAGTTGAAATATAGGTTAGAATGTTCAGTGCAGAAGTGACCAGATAGGGGGAGGGAAAATAAAAGAAATCTAATAAACAAAACATAATTGGCCCCTTGAGATATCATCACTAAAGTTAAAGAAAGTTACCTTTTCCAACTGCACTTGCTTCAAATTACACAACTTTCCCCACCCTGCACAGGATGGCCTCCTCCGCTCTCCAAAGGTGAGTCTGGCATTTTTCAGTCTGTCTTCAACACTTATTTAGGCACATGGATTATGAAACCAAGTCCTGTAATCCATGGCTTCTTCCTGTATTCTTTAAGCCCAAGATTATGGTGGTTTGATTAGCTGTCCTCTAGCAGAGATTTGTCCTGAGAAATATGTTCTGGCTACTCAAATTAGGAAGCCAGAACTGTTCAAGTGTTTTAAGGACTCCCCACTTGTGATGGGCCCGGGCCTACTACCAGGTCTGTAGTCTCGATCTCTGCTTTTCACTGACTCCTGGAAATACGGGTCGGGGCCAGGTCTGTACTGAAGAACATTTTCTTTGCAGATGCCAAGAGAAAGATAACTCTCAGCGACTAGTTTATTTCTCTCCATATAGAATTTCTGTTTAGGGAAAAGTATTTAAAGTAACATCCTTGTCTGAAATGCTTCCCAGGATTGCATATCGAGGGCTGAGTGGGAATATAATGTAGCTTCTCTAGGTCCCAGCATCCACACTTGCATGCCGAATAGGTTACTTAGCTAGCGCATGTTTTTCAAAGTCTTATACTTCCACACTAAACACCCTGTTTATTTCCATTTGTATATTACAAGTTTACTTCCATTTGTATATTAATCATTTTTGTTATTTTTATTAATGCTAGGTAACTATGTATATCTCTGGGAAAGGGATTATTTATGTATTATCTTCATTTTACAGATGTGAAAACTGATGTAGTAGGATTTTAGGAGAATATGTGCTTTTCTATAAAGCATCAGTCCAGTGGAAAGGGTCTTTCAAAATGAAAATAAGATGTTTGAGCTGCATAAAGATGATCCAAGGGCACAGCCTATTATTGGTTATGATAAATGCAGATATTCTACTTGAAATTAAAATTTGTGTCATCTTCTCCTGTGACCAGTTCTAGCTTGATGTTCATTCTCTAAGTACTCTGGGCAAAGAAGAGAAAACCTGATAGCTGCAAAGGGCTAGAAAGGACTGAGCAGGGAGGAGGGGAGACAGGCCCTCGGGAGGCAGTGCGATCCCGGAGCCCTAGCTTCTGCTCCAGCTCAGTCTGTGCTATCTGCTCTGCTTCCTTTCTGCTCTCTGTGCATCCTACTTGGTCATCTTTTCTTCATCTAGTATATGTCTCTTCTCAAAACTATTCTAAAAGCTTATTGTAGAGGAATATGGGTTTATGATCATTTCCACTGTGCTTTGGCAATACAGAGATGATTCTGGTGAAGTATTTGCTCCTCTTTACAAAGCAGATTATAATAAAGGGGCTGAAGAACAGAAATTAAGCTGGTGTGAAAATAATTCAGTAATGCCAAATATATGTCCACTAGCTATGTGTGTCTGAGTCTTTTATTTTTTTGTGGGGAATTTTAGGTTTTTCAGTAGTGTAACTGAAAAAAATTTGTAAAGATTCGTATGTATGTTGGAGGGGTGTGTCCTGAATTTGGACCTCTCTGTCCAAATTTTCTGAGGATCTGTTGATTTTTCTTGTAAGTGTATTTTATCAGTGTTTCCACCATGATAGAATCAAATTCTAGAAAATCTCACTGTAAGGAAGGACTAAACATACCACTCCAGGACTGAGTACCAGGATAAATAAAATATTGGAAGCCCTCATGTATAAAATATTAGATAACTAGCAATATGTAAATTGATTAAATGTTGATAAAAAGGCATTTATAAAAGCTTATTTCAATTTTCTTTTTCATTGTTTCCATTTCTTCCTCTTTTTTTTTTTTTTTTTTTTTTTTTTTTTTTTTTTTTTTTTTTTTTTTTTTTTTTTTTTTTTTTTCATTTTTATTGCCTCGGCTTCTTTATTGTACCCTTTTTACTTTGTCTTCCTTTCTGGTTTCCTTTTCTCTAACTATTCATTCTCTCTCTAACATTTTACTTTTTTCCACAGATAGCTTACCAGTAACCTCTCCCATTTATTTTTATTTACATTTCAATATCCTCTCCTTTTCTCATTTACCCATTTTGCATATCTTTCTCTTTCAGATATTTGTCTGTCTACATCTACTAGTTATTTATTTAAATTTGGGCTAGTTTTCTTTATTTTCTTTTTGAGAAAGACATTTTTTGAATATATATCACCAGTCTGGGAAGCCTTTTTCTTTTAAATTGATGTGAAATTCACATAACTCAAAATTAACTATTTTATAGTATACAGTTCAGTGGCATTTAGTTCATGCACAGTGTTTTGGTTTTATGCATGTGACTATACAGCTAAGTAGATATGAAAAGAAGTCTGAGAACAGCTTGGGCATGAGTGTGTTCGTGTATGGGATCCCAAGGGACACTGTGGAAAGGATTCCTATGACTGGAAAGAACTGGTTATCAGCTCCACCTTCGTAATGACTTTGGCTTCAGTACATGGCCACTCAGAGTTTACCTCTGCCTTTCATATGATTGCCAAGTGACCTGGAAACAGCCTCCTTTTTATGCTAGTGGGACAGTGACTATTTACACAAACAGTGGGGAGTGTGTTGGCACTATTTATAAGCACTCAGCGCTATAGAGAATAGACTTCTAGTTCCCCTGGGGAGACAGCTCAGAAGGGACAAATCTTTCCCACCAGATAAGACTCATCCCCACAAGTCCAGGATCTTCTATCAGGCCTCATCTTTTACCTGTTAAGGATGTTCTTTTGGCTACACAAACATGTCCTCAGGTTCTCATCTTCTTTTGAAAGTTGGTTTTTAAATGTTAAGCACTTGATATATCCATTTCTGATATTAGAGCATTTTCATGTTCTTATTGTCCATAATCAGAGCCCTTCATTTATCCTTAGAGGAAGAAGAATGGACTTCCTGCCATGGAGCCCCCCATAAGCTGTCATATTCGTCACCCAGAAACAAAGAAATGTGATCACCTTTTCAAGTTTATAGAAGAGGCCAGTTAACCACATCCTGCAACAAGACAGTCTCTAGAGGGCGACGTGCTGTATTCCTCCTCCTCGTCATGTTGGTGATGTGGCTTAGAGGCCACTCTTGAACTTCACAGGTGAGTGGGAGGGGCCTACTCTGGTCCACCATGGGTCCAAAGTGAATGAGACTGAAGTGCGGAGGAACTCGGTCCTCTTGGTAAGTCTCCTGATTTTTTGTTTGATGAATCTGCAGCCTTTCAACAATGGCTGTTGTGCTGTGTGCAGGTTCATGCTTTGTATAGGAGTGGCTTGGTGGTGTGTCCCAAATGATCAGATAATCAGTTTACCTGCTGACTCCACTATCTACTCCACTTTTTCCATCTGCGAAATAGAGATAATAAGCTAAAGTTCAGAATGTTGTGAAAATTATTATATGTGTATATAGATATATATTTAGTATAACTCCTGGTACAGAGCAAGTGTTTGATATAAAGTTGATATAACTTAATATAGAAAAAAGAACAGTTATGGTTTTAAATTCTTCTCTTAACATTCTTCGCACCCCAGGGAGTGTTTGAACTCTGGCTTGGCAAGAGTGTTTCAGGAACTTGTTTGTTTTCTTCCCAGTGTCTGCCGCCAAAAGAATACACAGGACTGAGAAGATTTTCTGAAACTTAACCTGACCATTCAATGATTCATAGGGCAATTGACTTGGGTAAGTTATTTGAAACAATTTTACAGAGAAACAGGTTTTACTTTGACTTTAACACATCACTTTTTAAAAAATATCAAATATATTTTATTAAAAAATTGCTCACACAAGTATTGTGTCACTTGGAAATAAACTTGTCTTCCTAAAGTATTGAGCAAAAAACAACATGGCTTTACACACAAATACACTTCTTTGGAAATGTTTTAGAGATAAGTAGGAAAACACCACTTGTTTTGTTGTTTGTTTGCTTTTTAAAAACTGACACACTTTAAGTCCTGATTATAGAAGTGTAAATAGTATAAATGAATCCACCATTAACCATCACCTTCATATCCATGCCACCTACGTGTGCACATACATACCTGCTGATATACTTGGAGGAGTTGCTGCATCACAGTTACTTTTGAACCCTTGGCAGACAGGACTGAAGAAAGGTTATTGATGATAGGTCTTATATATAATGCAGAAAAAAGTCACTGGTATGCCTTTAAAGAATAGGTCACAATAGAAATACTTATTGAAGACAATTTATCCCACTCTGGTATGTTTTAGTTTTTATTTGTGATTTGTGTAGTTGTTTAGTTTGAATATCTGGTTAAATGCTAACACAAGCTAGTAAGCACAAAATAACTATTGATTTCTTCAACGTCTATGTTGTCAGCAATTTTTGAAACATATGTATATGTACATACACACATATTTGCCATCCGTAGCCATTAGGATACTAGGTACCAAAAAAAAAGATAAAAGCAAACATTTCTACATGGAGGAAATATAGTTCAAATATTTAGATTTAAAATGGTATCCCTAGGGAAAGTAGTTATAATGAATTTTCCAGAAAACTCCTTTGCCTATGAAAATGGACCTGATGACCCCCACAGTTCCAAATATTCTGAAAACTACAAGGGTAGGAAACCATATGTTGGGAACAAAGAAGCTGGATGGGGAGGGATGGATGAGTCTTGCAGTTAGCTGTATTTTGTAGTGTGTTTTCTTTAGCTATTGGTAAATCTCAAAAAAATCAAGAGATTCAGAAGTACATTTACATAGGGCTGGGGAAGCACTGTAAACATTACCTGTCCATATTTTTATCAGGGCTTCATGGTTAGGGAATTTTCCAACTAGTTTAATGACAATATTTTCTATTCCAGTGTTAAAATAAATTGATGTACAAGTAGGTATAATACAAAGGTTTTCAGCCACGAAGCTAAATAAGCTGTTAATTTTGAACATTCTAAAAAAGTACTATTCTTGATTATAAACTATTTGCCAAGAAGATTTTGAATTCTTTATTTCATCTTTTGACTCAGTGCAGAATCTTTCTTACCCCTTTAAGCATTATACATTTCTTTGCCAGTCTTGTAGCTGAGTGTCTTGTTCCAATTAATTTTGATGTAGATGGCTGAAGCTTCCTTTGTAAGGGCTTGAATGTGGTATCTGACATTGTTTCATCATTTCCATTAATTATTGTGTGACACTCAATTTCTGAAAGCTCTGTTTTTAAGAAATTCCTTGAAATTTTGGACCTTACTCAAAACAGTACTAAATCCTGAGTATTTTATGACTAACCATCTGAATATTACTATCTTTATAATAATGAATTATAACCTTAAGTCTCCCAAACCAATTGTGTTATAAAAGTATAATATCTAAAAATTATTCTAAAAGCTTTTAGGCTAAAACTTGAAGCTTTCAATAAATGCTGTAGTCTGCTGTCTATATAGTTATAGAATGAATAGTATAGAAGCCATTGGAACAATGAATTTTCATGTGGATCTATCACAGGATTGTCTCTAAGACCTCAGATTCTTATCTGTATACGTTAGTTATGAATCACTTCTTTTCTTTGGTAAGTGAGCAAACAGTAAAGAAATTTTGGTTTTGGGACAAAAAGCTACTAGTGCCTGTGTTATCATGTTCTGTAATTATGACCTGATTGTCCTTCTGTCTTCACTGGCAAGGACTAGTCAGTGTTTTATCGTGAAGCGAATGAGCTGTCCTTTCCTTGGGAAAACACTGTTATTAAGTAATAACCTGACATTATTAAACACTTCATTAAATTATGCCCTCATAAGAGATGAATTTTGGAAGCTCTGTATACCTCCTCTTTATGTGACACTTGATTCTTGAAGCTGGCCATCTTGCCCAACTGAGCCACATTTGTGTGAGGTAGGTGAAGAAGAGATCTCCTACTTGAATCTCTAAAAGTAAAAGGGCAAGTTACAGAAGATAAATTTAAAATTACTTAGTTAAAAATCTGTAAGAATATTTAAAACATTAAAAACTTCATTAATTTCCTTTCCCAATTTAAGAGGAGATGTTTGAGAGAAATTATGTTACAGTAAATTGAATTCCAAAAATATAACTTATTTTTTCCTTCATTTCCAGCTGCACAGCTGGGTCCCATTGTGTTCTTCATCTATGGATATGTTCAAGCAGAGTTTGAATGGTGATTTGGCTGAGATGTTCTAGGAAAACTTCAAAAGTTCAGATGGGTAGGCTCTCCATATGGTCTAAGAGCCACTCTTCCAATCCCGAGTTTCCGTGATTTGTTATTTTGACATCTTTAGTTGGTCTTCAGAAACTCATGGTCCAGGAAAATAAAACACAGATATGGGTGAGTGAATTCATTCTGCTGGGGCTGTCCAGTGACTGGGGGACTCAGGTCTTTCTCTTTGTCTTGTTCCTGACCATGTACTTGGTGACTGTTGTGGGAAATCTTCTTCTTCTTCTTATCAGACTGGATAGCAGGCTTCATACTCCCATGTACTTCTTCCTTACTGTTTTATCCTTTGTGGACCTTTGTTATGCAAATAGTATTGTCCCACAAATGCTGGCCCACCTGCTTTCAGCACAGAAGTCCATCCCATTCCACAGCTGTGTGCTCCAGCTCTATGCATCCCTGGCACTGGGTGGGTCTGAGTTCTTCCTGCTGGGAGCTATGGCCTATGACCGCTATGTGGCGGTGTGCCACCCACTGCACTACACAGTCATCATGCATGGAGGGCTGTGCCTGGGGTTGGCTGCTGGCTGCTTGGTGGCTGGTTTAATTAATTCACTGATGGAAACAATCATCACCTTTCGGCTTCCCCTGTGCCACAATATTATTAATCACTTTGCCTGTGAGACCCTAGCTGTTCTACAGCTAGCCTGTGTGGACATCTCCCTCAACATGGTCATGGTGGCCATCTCAGGGTTTCTGGTGATCATGCTTCCCTGTTCCCTGGTTTTATTCTCCTATGGTCATATAGTTGTTGCCATTCTGCGTATTCGTTCTACTCAGGGACGTAGCAAAGCCTTTGGGACTTGTGCCTCCCACCTCACTGTGGTTAGCACATGCTTTGGGGCTACCATCTTCACCTACCTGGGGCCACGGTCAGCATCTTCAATGAAAGAGGAGAAGATGATTGCTCTATTTTATGCTGTGGTGGCACCTATGTTGAACCCTGTGATCTATAGCTTGAGGAATAGGGACGTCATGGCTGCTCTCTGGAAAGTTTTAGAGAAGTTCAGAGTTAAAGAGTAGACTGTAAGAACTTCTTATTATCTATCATTGAAACTGAAAAGGAGATCAGATAAGTGTAGATGGGACTCCCACACTTACGCTAAAGAAGAATATTATGATCAGCTCCTTGCACTGAATAAAGTGTTCCTCCCCCTGATTAATGAGTTTTCTTACATAGATTGATATCAGATAATTTACATATCAGTGATCCATGAGAGCCTCATCTTAGATCATCTTGTCTCAGGTATCCACATTTTTTATTAGTGTATCAGTGCCCAAAGGAACGACCCACGGCTTCATCAAGCAGACCTGGTTTGTGGAATGAATAGACAGGTGAATTCCACCTGCTAGGTCAACCTCTATCTTGTGGAACAGAATGGAGAATGTCTGTTCCTCTTTCTGCATGCAATACCCCAGTTATTTGTAGAACAACCTGATTTCCTCTGGAATAATCACAAGTGGTTTCTTCATCTCTTTCTTGAATGACAGCTATTTTATAACTTTCAGTACCTTTTATGCATTAATCTAGAATGTGATATGGTATCCTGAAATAAAAAAACGTATTATAATATTTGTTTAGACCAGTATGCTGGATCTCATTTTCTTTTCAAGAAGCAAATTTGTTTTTAAGATAACAAAATATCCGTGGCTTTACTATAATCTTACCGTGGTAAAATATATATAACATAAAATTTGCCATTTTAGCCATTTTTAAGTGTACAGTTCAGTGGCATTAATTGCGTTCGAAATGTTGTGCAAACATCACCATATTTATTTCCAAAATTATTCATCACCATAGTGTTTCATTTAACTAATTTCCCAAGACCTGTTTCCTATAAACTGGTTACAAAGTCTCCACACCCTTTGCACTCTTTTTTCTTTCTAAAATTTAAATGTAGGTACGTATATTTAGTTTTGCTAATTTTTATTATTGATTTTCACATATCACACAGCCTGCCATGACTGTTTCGAATTTTGAATCTCCAGTTCTATTAGTTTACTTAATCTTTCTGTTCTATAGATATAATAAACAGAAAAAGTTATAAAAAGAAATATCAAAATAATACATGTCAATTATATATCACTGTGAACCTACGTCCAGGTAGCAAAAATGGGTCCAGATATCATATATAGCCTTTTCAGATTGGCTTCTTTGCCTTAGTAATACACATTTAAATTTCCTCCATGTCTTTTCATGGCTTAATAGTTTATTTCTTTTTAAAACTGAATAATATTCCATTGTATCTACCACAGTTTATCCATTCACCTACTGAAGGACACCTTGTTTGTTTTTTTACATTTTGGTAATTATTAATAAAGCTGCTGTAAACATTTGTGTCAGGTTTTGTGTGGACATATTTTTTGATTCCTTTGAGTAAATACCAAGACCTATGATTTCTGGATCATGTGGTAAATTTATGTTTAGTTTTGCAAGAAACCGTCAAACTGTTTTCCAAAGTGGATGTACCATTTTGCATTCCCACCAGCAGTGAATGAGAATTTCTATTGTTCCATATTTCACCAGCAATTGGTGTTGTCGATGTGCTGAATTTTGGCCATTCTGACAGATGTGTAGTGCTATTTCATTGTTGTTTTAATTTTCACTTCCCTAATGACATATGATGTGAAGCATATATTTTCATATATTTATTTACCATCTGTATATCTTTAGTGAGGTGTTTGTTAAGGTATTTGGGTCATTTTTAATCAGATTGTTTTCTCGTCAAGTTTTAAGAGTTCTTTGTCTATCTTTGATAACCCTTCTTTATCAGGTATGCCTTTTGCAACACCTTTTTTCCAGTGTGTGGCTCGTCTTTTCATTCTCTTGACATCATTCACTTTCACATTGTGACAGGAATACATATTTGCATATGCAAGAGCACAGTAACATTCATCCTTTCATTCTTTATTAAGACTGTAACAATTACAACAAGAAAAATGTGAAAACAACTTCAGGCAACAAAAAATGGCTTAAATAAAGAACTGGGAACATAAAAATTAAGTGTGAATAAGACAAGCAATGAGCTAAAACCTTCTAAGTATAAAATTAAGTTTTAAAAGCTATATACTTTTATGTGTTGAAAGTGAAGAAATCAGAGCCAGAGTAATAAATATAAAATGAAGCTCCCACCCCCCCCACCCCAACAATGAAGACTTAAAGCCCAGTTGAGAAAGAGGTTTTAATTAGGTCCGATTAACCACTTTTCCCTAAGAGACTATCCCAAAGAATTCATTCCTGCATCAAAAACCTGTTTATCTGAGGCTTGACAGGAGCTCCACACTTTATAGGTTGTCCGTCATCTGTGCTTTAATCTCAATTTGCCGAGCACATCTGACCAAAATACTATGACCTCTTGTGATACCATAATCATTTGCAGTTGTCATCTGAAACTCATGCTCCGTTTTCAGCAAAAGGCTCCATATGCTGAGTGTTTTTCTTGAATACATTCCTTTTTTTGCTCTAACTTCAACCTGGCTTTTCACTGAGAATTCTGATTCCCTTCATCTCTCTCAAATACAGACCCTTTGCCTCCCATTTTTCCGCTAATACTGGGTAGGCAGGTAAAGAGGGTATCTTTCTTGATGCTCTGCCACTTCCATTGCTTTTTTACTTTAAATACCTTCAGCTTCTTTGAAGCACATGCTATCAAACTATAGCACCATCATCCCTTCTTTTCTTCATTTACTATCTATCCTCCTCGTTTTAAAACTGCTTTACCACTAATTCTGTCATCACATGGAAATTTCTGCATCTGTGCAGGAGATCCATTTGGCATCATGGCCTCTCAGTTGAGTTCTATCTCCTTCCTGTGTTTTTGACCACTAACCCACTCTGTCACCCACTTCTGTGATGGTACCCTAGACCTTTCTGTTGCCAATAATCGCGTTGCCTCTAACATCTCCATATCAGGGCCCCCACTCTGACTGCTCGCTCCAATTTTTATCTTTCCAGTTCATATCATGTAGTCTTATCACTCCACCAGATTTTGACCCTGCCATGACCTCTACTACCTTAACACATTTTTCTCATCTATACTTTGTCTTATTTCCCCTCTTACCCAGCACAGGTTCCATGCCCATTTGTATGATCACTCCTTACGTATACTCTGTGGTAATCTCAAGGATATTGCATCTGCAGCTAACTCTTCTCTCCTACATCCAGAAGCAGATTTACCATGAAGCTAATAAACTTAAGCTTCATGGGATTTTACTTGCATGAGGTCCTCCAAGGTACATGGTTATGTGTTTTTGTTTTGTAAATATGCCTTGTGAAAATTTTCAAAATTAAGAATTTTAATTGCAGTTGGTTGGGCTAATGTCACTTCCCATTCTTACCTTCCATTTTTCATACTTACCCTAGAGGCAGGTAATACTAGAGAGGCTGTGAGCATTTTGGGGATCCAACTAATGGAAAATTGAGTTGAGGTACTGAATTCATTTCCTTGAGCTGCCATGACAAAGTGCCACAAACTGAGTGGCTTAAAATCACAGAAGTTCATTCCCTCATAGTTCTGGAGGCTACAAGTTACATCAGGATGTCAGTAGGGACATGCTCCCTCTGCCGACTCTGGGAAAGAATCATGCCTTACCTCTTCTGGGTTCTGGTAGCCCCATATGTTCCTTGGTTTGTGTCAGAATAACTCCCGTCTCTGTTTACCTCTGTCTCCACACGGCTTTCTTCTCTATATGGCTCTTTGTGTCTTCTCTTCTTATAAAGGCACCAGTCATTGAATTTTGGGCCTACTCTAAATCCAGGATGATTTCACCTCAAGAACCTTAAGGAATGACATCTGCAAAGATCCTATTTCCAAATAAGGTCACATTCTGAGGTTCTGGGCAGACATGTATTTTGGGAGGACGACAATCAAACCAGTGTAGGTACACTTGGTTTGAATTCAGTAAGACACATTTTAACATGATTCACAGTCCAATTTATTGCTAGTCACACAGGTTGGCTTTCAGGAATGGCTTTCAAGAATACTACTATTCACTGTGCCTCAGCCAGTGTCATTAATGGAAACGAGTGTTAGTCTGTGGAAAGTTCTTCCAAATCTTATTGCTTACTTGAAAGAGATTTAATAAACAAATAGGTACAAAATAAAGTAATTAAAATAATTAATATAAAAAGAGGCAGAAATGGGAAGCAAAGAACAAATGAGGCAAAATGGAAGCAAATAGCAAGATGGTAGGTTTAAATGCAAGTTTATCTGTAATAACGTTAATGAAAACTGCCTAAGTATAGTAATTAGAAGGAAATCATGTAGGATAAAAACAGATTCAGTGCTGTAGGCGTTTAAAAAATAGATTCAATTATGTGCTCTCTACAGTCAATTTATTTTTAATATAAAAACATAGATGGATTAAAAGTAAAAAGATAAAAACGACATACCATGCAATGCTAAAATCAGAAAGTTAGAGTGTATTAACATCAAATGAAGTAATCAGAAGAATAAACAATATTTCATAAAAAATAAGATTATATAATGATAAGTGTTGATTCATCAAGAGGACATAAATATTCTAATCTAATAGAGCTATAAATACATAAAAAGTACATAGACAAATTCACCACTATTATTGGAGATGTTAACATAACTTTCCAGTATTTGATAGATCAAATAGATAAGAACCAATAGATACAACATCTTTGAAACAACCTGACCTAATTGAAAGTTTTAGAACACTTCATCCAGCAACAGAAGAATACAAACGTCAACACCTGTAAAATAATTGAAATCATTTGAGTATTTTGTCTGAACATAATGGAATTAAATCAGAAATAAGTAAGATAAGGACCTCTGAAAAATCCCAAATATGTGGAAACTAAACCCTCTTTATTCTTTTAAGTAATCTATAAATCAAATCAAAAAGGAGATTAGAGAAATATTTTGAATTGAATAACAAGGAAATACAACATATAAAATTTGTACCTGAAGTGGAGCTTACAGGAGATTTTAAAGCATTAAATGCTTATGTTAAAAATGTCTCAAATCAATGACTCAAGCTATACCTTTAAGAAACTAGAGAGAGGAGATCAAATTAAACACGTAAAATGCAGAAGGAAAAAATAAATCTGCAGAACATTTGAGAAATTCAATGTAACCCAAATTAGTTTCTTTCAAGTTTAATCACATTGAAAATCTGTAGTTAAGACTGACCAAGAAACAAAGAGAAAAAACACAAATAACAATATTAAGAATTAAAGAGACGCATCTTTACAGATTCTACAGACATTAAAAAAATGCTAAGGCAATATTTTTAATAGAGTTACATCAGTCATTTTAAGAACTTAGATACCTGGAAAGTAACTTTCGAAGAACAAATAGCTACCTGGAAAGTAACAGACTACCAAAGCCCTCATAAGAAAAAAGTAGGTAGCTTGAAAATTATCTATGAAAGAAATTACAGTTAAAAATATTCCCACAAAGAAAACTTCAGGTCCAGGTAGCTCCACTAATAAATTCTACCAAAAGCGATACATAATACTAGCTCTATACAAATGTCTAGAAAATATAAGAGGACATATTTACCACATCATTTCATGGAGCCAGAATTACCTCACACCAAAACGAAACCACAAGACATTATGAGAAAGGAAAACCAGAGACCAAAACCCTTCATGAACAGACACACAGCAGTTCTAATAAAATATTACCAAATCCAGTAATTCACAAAAATATAATAGATCATGACCTTGGGGAGTATATGTAAGGAATGCAAGTTTGGTTCAGCATCCAAAAATAAATCAGTGCAGTTTATTCTATCAATAGATTAAAACGATAAACAATCATCTTGATAGATGCAAAAAAGGTTAATCAACATTAATTTATAGCAAAGATCTTTAAAAACTAGATATAGAAAGGAACTTCTTAACTTGGTAAAGGGTTTGTACAAATGACAGCTAAAATATACTTAATGGTAAAAGATTGAATAATTTTCCCCTTGAGATTGAGACTAAGATCTGGGTGTTCATGCTCATCATTTTTCTTCCACTGAACGTTGTAGCCAAAGTGATAAGGCAAGAAGAAGAAATAAAAGGAATGCAAATTAGAAAGAAGCAAAATCATTTTTATCCTCAAGCAACATTATCATCTACATAGAAAATCCCAAAGAATGTATAATAAAGGTCTTAGAATTAATAAAAAAGACTGGCAAGATTGAAAGATGCAAAGACAG